ACCGGGCCGGCTGTCAAAATATTGGGCAAGGTACGTTTCAGTATGGTCGTGGTTACAGAATTTTCTGTTCTTGTTATTGTTCCTCAACTAGCGGAAAAGGAGTAAGCCCGGAGTAAGGTCCGGGCTATATGCTAGATGCATTAGTGTAGCGAGAACGATGAGGGAGGAGCGAAATGCGCGTAATGCCACAAAAATGCGTAAACAGACCACTCGCAAAACCGTACAGATATGGACCGTGTTTCCTTCCCACGACTCACCGCGGATGAGGATTTGGGAGACGGACCGTTCCCTGTGCGTTTCGAGTTTGAGCCTGGGAACAATCCCTCCATGTTTTCATCCCGATTCTAGCAAGCCAGGAGTCGTTCAAAACTCACGTTTTGCTTTCCCGTGGCTGCATCACTCGGCCCGCATTCAGTCCTGTGGGCTTCACTGGCGGTGTATTTGTCTGATTCACTGTGTCCTCGACAAATACGTCCTCTTTTGTTCTGGGCCCATGCTCGTCACCAGACGTCGCTCGTGATCCGTTCTCGGCTCGATCCGCAAGACTCCAACTGCCTCGTCTCGTCTCATCCACTGCACCCGACGATCATTCCCTACCGTCCCATTTCTGTAGTCTTTCCTGTTCCAGAGTAGTCGTCGGCTTCCGCCACCTTACATAAGAGCTCCGATACCGAGGTGCGGGATCTTGACACGGGTCAACTTTACCACATGAGGACGTGCATTGTCATGATGGAGAATGATCCAAGCCATGCTTGGACGTTTTTTTAGTGTTCGTCAACCATCTTTTGCTGTTGTTGGCAGTAGACATCGGTAGTCCCTGTAAAATTGTCATGTGGAGGTACCAAATAGATGACACCAGGGCGACCCCTCCAGACAGACAGCATCACCTCTTGCTGGACAGTTCTAATCTCGAGACTTGTACTGCCGTTTCATTTGCTGCGATCCACCGGCGCCTCCTGCTATGTTTGACTTGGAGTACCCACTCCCCGTCTCTATTAAGGACATCTTACAGCCATCGATGATTGCATCCTCGGTGAGCAATGAAACTACGATGGCAAAATGATTCAAAAGCAGCTCATCCTCAATTTGTGTGGTACAAGTTTCCATAGCTTTGGGTTCATTCCGGAATTACGCAGATGATGATGAACGATGCTTGTTGGAAAGTTGGTGTGAATGGACTTTGCATCATATCCTCCACTCTAACATCCTGGATGTTGCTATCAAAATCCGTTGGCTCGCATCCTTGAGCTCCGATGTTGGACAAATCGCAGTCCCCTATTTTGAATCGGCGGAACCAAAATGATACCACAGCTTGACATTGAGCCACCGCGATTGGCACATGACGTGGGTTTCGACAAGCCTGGACCGTTGAGCTCCGTTGTAGGAACATGTACAACAAGTATTCGCGAATAGCATGTTGACCATTTGTCAATAGTGCAGCAACCGCTAAAATTTAGGATAATTGGATAATGTAAGCTTATTGCTCCAGGGTGTACCCTTATATACCACTACTAAAGAAGCATCGAGTAAGCTCAAGAAAATTTTAGAACAGCATCGAAAAAATTTTCAATTGATTTTGTGAAACCCAAATACTTACATCAAGCTTTTGAACATTGTGTGATGTCGGTACAATGCATTTAATATATGCGTCCTATTTCTGAGTATCGCACACGATGGAAAAGTGCTATCGAATAGGCAGAGTCGAATGACTTATTATTACATGCAAGCACCGACCGTTTTACACTAGGAACCAGCTGCTAACTCGTCGAGCTGCATACCGAGCGATACATTGTCCACATATTCTTCCCAAGTGGTATGGTGCACACCGGAACGATTGCATTGCAAACAAACTAATCAGAGATCAGAAAAGCTGGGAAAATCGGATTTGAACCGTCTGGCAAACCCGTTTGTCTCATTCAGATCTCCGCTAGACCTGTTAGCCTCAGTGAGTTTTGTTGCTGTGTGCTGGATTCGTACATCGGTTGGGGTAAAACTTGTGCAGATTGATCACGGTTTTTTTCTGTGTAACGCAACCGATACGTTGGAGAAGAGGATAGACTAGCACACATACTCCATATTTATTGGTCAGGAAGAGTGCAGGAATTATCGGATAACGAGAGTACTGATGATTAATGAAATATACCTGTATGGTCACAGACATACGTACGATGTGATTCAGGAATCAGGCGTGGACTTAGGAAACAAGAGCAGTTGCGTGCAGCTCGTCTCAAGCGTAAGGTAAAACCGAACAAACAACCTGAGGAGCATTTACAGAAGGTCACCTTAACAGAACTATCTCCACGCCTGAAACATGGCAATTGTTATACACGATAATCGTAAAAGCTACTCTAGAGTAGCGTGCTATCATTCAGAGGTAATTAAGAAAAGCAGAATAGCTCCGGAAAATGTCCAACTCTCAGTTACCAAGTTAGTCAGGGGGCGTTGCTCAACCATGAGCTAATATGATCGCTGTCAGCAACTCCGTATGGATTCCTTTTGGTTGGGACGACTGAAGTACAATCTCCCTCTTCTCCTCAACATTATCGATAAGAGGATTTTCACGCAGACTACCGCATTCGAGCTGCAGAAAACCGCTATCACACCCACAATGGTCGCCACCTGGTACCCTCCCAGTCTGAAAGACAAAAATCGATCGACCCTTTTGTTAGTGAGATATGCCAATCTGTGGTAAGCACGAGTACTAGCCATGTCAAATTTCGAACAATTCTAGAGACTCTCTTCACTATACTCAATGTGGTTATGCCTATTGGCTCATAACAATCGCCAGAAGTATTGACGGATGCTGATCTAACTAACATGTGAATAGCTAGAAGCCAACAGTCACCTTACCTTTTCTTTATCATTACATGTGAAATTAAAGTTGTACCTGAGCAAGTTAATCTTCCCTACGCTACTTCTCATTGCTCTCGAGTTTCACTTGGTTGTACATTTGAAAACAGTGACACAAACATTCTTATGGAATGAATGCATTGCGAGTGATTGATTCGATGATGCGCGCACAGATGAACTATCAAAAATTCAATTGTGTTTAACTTCCATTATGGTGTTTTAACACATGCAACCCATAACACTACTCGTGTGCACGCATGATCTCTTCTACATAGGGGTCCTATATCACCAGTTGTTAAGTATACAATTTTATATTTTTAGGTAAATTGTGAAATCAATCGACTTACCAACTAAACAAGATGAAGCGGTCATTTAAACCGTTGATGAAGCTGGGTTGTTAGCTAACTAAAAGATATACTTACGAATGAACGAAACTTTATAAAACTGTAATTGTGACCTGGCAGCGAACTGAGTATTCTGCTCGCGACCAACGTCTTGCTTACCGTTAGTGGAACCTGAGCTGACATCAGCGCCGACATTTGTACCGACGGACACGTCTTCACGCCGACCCGCGCAGGTACAAGGTTGAGTTTTTGACTTATCCCTCTACTGCTGTCAGCTTCAACCTCGCTGCATCTAACTGACCTCAGTATGAACAATGTCTTTAGATGGGTTTAGAAACACTGTTTATAAGCCCCGTTGGATGGTTTGGGGTGGTTATCGGAAAAAGTTTATAAAAAGCAGTTTGTACTTTTAGTATGGAAAGGACTTATCGCTTGTAATGTTGTCCTGTCCTCTGAGTAGTTTCACTGCACTAAGCAGGGACAAATATTATTTCTAAGGTCTTTCCTGTTAAGTAACAGAATAGAAGCGGTGGGAGGCGTTGTACAGCCGATTTTGATATCGCTAGTATCGGTACAGAAACGGTTGATTCGGAGACAGCGTTCCACGGGTGACATATACGAAGAGAAGGGAGATTAGTGCGACACTCCAGGCGTGTGTACTGCCCTGTAAGTTTCAATGAGTGACCACACAGGTTTGCATTGCTGCTTAGCTGCAGTGAGGAGCGGCACACGTGACTTGGATCGTGCAAACTCAAGCAGGCCATTAGCAAGTCACATTGTAATTGGCTATCTTGTCAGCTAAATACTCTCAAACTCGAATGCCATCAACCATTTCAGGCACATCACCTCAACATCCTTTCCAGCGTCAGTTGCCTCGATCCAACTACTCCGGACCATTAGTAATTTCGTTTGGCATGTTCGCTGTCGACAGAAGTCGTGATGCTTGGGAGTAGTAATGTTAGAGTCTTCCAGGTAGCTCACCAACGTATCGACAGTAATGAATTCCATGACATTTGACAGGATAGGGAGAAAAGATACTGGCGGTAGTTTGAAGGCTCAATTCTACTACCGCCTTGGTGAATCGGGGTTCTTATTCCAAGCTTCCACATCGCAGGTGTCTGGTTCTGGTCTAAGCAACATTGGAAGAACTGAACTATAGAACCTACCAATTGTTTGCTACTGCACCCAGTGCTTCTGAGTGGATGGTGTCGACACACGGAGAGCTGTGATTGCGCAGAGACGTCAGCTTCTGCAATACAGCTTCAGCATTAAAAGCGATGTGAGTGAGTCGTGGGGGTGGGAAAACAAAGTTGGAGGATCGCCTGATGACAAAACCTTCCGAAATGTGGGGGCATATGGCGTCGGCTTCTTCCATAGCTGTTCTTGTTGGACCAACAGCCGTCCGGAGTGGTGGAATTTCCTGCTTTAATTGGCGAGTGCCATTGACATGCCTGTACAGCAGTTTGTGGTTAGTGCTGCAAGTTTTCGTCATGTTCTGCTTACATGCTGCGTTGTGTTCTCTGAACAGTTGAGTGTGGTGGTTACGTTGGGCTGCACATTTGTCCCAACTATTTGGCTTTGGAGATACACTGCACGCGCGCCGTTCTGCATCGCGTACTAACATCCATTTTCAGGTTCTGCTCCTTACGAAAGAAACTGCTTTTGGTATACTGCAAACTCTTGTCTCCGAATGATTTGTAATCGGTCGATTAAATTCGTCGACAAACTCGAGCCAGGCAACTTCCGGGTAGTCGTTGGCGTGAAAGCACCAGGTAGTGGCACTGACAGGCTAATTATGTTGGTTTTATGAATAGTAACCTGATTGTGGCTTTGCGCACAAAAACGCGAAAGGCTTACAGATCACATCGTCTTCACTCGGATACTATATCACGGTCTAAACTACTAAATGACGAACAGACGAAGTCTGGTGGGTTGATTTTGGGAATCGATACACGATGGCGTCCCTCTAAAGTGCCGATGAGAGCTGTGTAATGTTTGACCCATGGTGTCTAATGAGATGTTTCGGAAAAGTTCTAGGACTGGTGTTACAAAACATTTGTTTCAAACCCAAAAGTAATACTCAAGGTTTTCTCTTCCAAAGTAATCCCTCGGGAGTCTAATACACCTTCCCATCCTTCTCTGTTACACTTGCATGCACTCCTGGAAGGACCCTTTCAGGATGCTTAGTCGTCACGGTCATTTATATGTCGTCCACTCCCTCAAAACGAGTCCTGTTGATGACCCCGTTGAGATGGAGGAAGAGGAAAAATCCACCGAGCCAGGTCAAGTGAGTAGGAAAGTCACTCCCACACATTGGTGTTCTTCTCGGCCAGGAACAGTCGGACACTTCGGGCATTGTGAGCAACTACGTTGTTATGGTGAGCAGCTACTAGTTGGCTTGCCACAACTGCTGCCTGTTGTCACACACTGAACGGAGCAAAGGCTGAAGTATCTCTTCGTAAACATGTTGGTTGATAGTTTGGCTCTGCAACGACAACTCGTAGTCGAGGATCCCTCTTCACATCGAAGAATGTGTTCAATACGACAATGACATTGGGATTCGACTGTCATGTTTTTCGATCTTGGAGACATAAAAATCTTCTGCTATGGCTCAAGTATTTGGTTACAGTGCTGAAGCAACCTCCCAACCCACCCAATCTGGCTCTCTGCGAGCTTCTGCTCTTTTCCAAGCTCAAGGGGACCCGTTTTGAAGTAGCGGGTGCCATCCCAAAGGCCATGACACTCGAACTGCGGATGATCCCGAAAGAACCTTTGCAGAATCGCAGGCAATTATGACAGCGAAGCAAAGAAACATGGATTAGAATCCAGGGGGTTTACTTTGAAAATGACAAGTGTTGGTATTAAGTTTGCGTTTGCAATAAATCTTTTGTGACACCAGTCTCAGAAATGTTCTGACATACCTCGTACACTAACAAATTTTTATTCTAATTCAGCACACTACTCAAACTTACGTTTGAATGTTGTTGCTGATGGTTTGAGGAAAGTCGGCAGACTATGGATGTGCTCTCTCACGATTGTGTTTACAAGGGAAACTTGAGAGACTAGGTTGCAACTCATCAAGTTTCGCATTCTCGTGAGATCACAGAATGGTAGGACAGCGCCTGAATGCCCATATTATTTAGAAGGAAAGTGGAACTTAGTACACGTTCATTTTCTGCAAACCGATAAATTTGACTGACGACATTTAGTTATTGACGTTTTCGTTCCCTATCACGACAGGACTTCGGATGAAAAAGATGCAACCCTAGTTCATTGACGCACACCACCGACCATTCCCATGTATCGTACGGAGTCACGCGTCCGCTCTTAACCGTCAAAAATGGGGAATACGAGGGTGCACTTCAACAATCGTGCCGCTCGCACCGTATTTTATTTCTGATTGTATGCGTTCCTTAGCTTGTGTGCACACCACTCCAACAACAATAGCCCATAGACAGCGTCCGAGTTGGCCAAAGCGGTCACGGCTGAAGCGTGCAGTCCGCGCACCCACGTCTGAGGAAAGGCCATGCTGTTATTCGATCGACAATGCGTGTGTACGCTGCATGGTTTACGCGCACACCACATGAACGGGGATGTTACTGGGCTCTGATCGTGGTCGCCTCCCTATCTAATCGATAATTTACCTAATCGTGGGCGTCTGTCCACACGCACCTTTCGTTCGCCGTCTGTTTTTCTCCATTGCTTAAGGGGTGGTCAGCATGCGTAGGTGTGTGCGCTTACAATCGGACTTTTTCATCGATTTTGCATAGATGTACCACCGATGCTGGTGAACCTTTTGGCAGACGAACCAATTGGGAACGGACTGGGATTACACATATATTACACCCAGCTTGGTTGCTAGCCCATTGTGCCTCTTCGCTACCCAACCGCGTCCGATTTCGTACCTGTCGCGGGTTTAACAAGTTTGTTCGGATTAAGCCAGCTAATTCAAAAGTATTTCGGTAAGTCAACGGGCTTTGCAATGTACTGAATTTTTAACTTAACGATCTTGACCATCTTGCAATACTTCTCCAATCTTTAAGCTGGCATTCGGCCCTTTTGTTCCTTATTATTCCACTCAGCCGGATTCCAGTGATTGCGTAGCCACAATCAACCTATTCTAGCCCTTGGTGGATCACAATGGATCCGTCGGATCCCGATTTCAAGTACCTCGGTGTGGATCGGAAGGAGATTTTGAAAGAGCAGAGCAGTTTCGATGCCAAAAATGTGATTTGGGTTGAAGATGAAAAGGACGGATATGTCCTGGCCGATATCGTCCAAACAAGTGGAGATACCATCACCGTAAAAATGAAGGATGGAACGGTAGGTTTGCTGTGGAGCAGTACATCTTGATTGACTGACTTGTAGCGAAGGTAACGTATTCTAAAAGGATAATATAAGAAGTACTATTTTAAAATGTCGCATAGGTTTATGCTAACATGTATGTTTATATTAACCGGGTTTTGTCTTAGGAATCGAATACTTTCCGTGGAAATTTTGCCGCTAGACAAATAACTAGCATTGTTTAGAATACCTACAAATGGCAGTCAAATGTATAACAATTCTAAAAGTATATTAACCACGAACTTACACTAGGGCCTTAATAGCGAAAGCGAAATTAGCTGATGTATGTCTAAATATTCTTCGTTCGGTATTAACTTCACTGGAATGTACAAAAATTCACAATGAATGACTGGGTGTCTTAGAGAACAGTTACTACTGGTATGGGGTAGCATTTTTTGACAATGAACAATGATTTTATACGGATTAAGAAGCACTGTTTACAAGCCACTTTTGGTAGTCTGGTGGATTTTCGAAAACGTTAATGAGAATAACGCAGTTACTAGTTCTGCTATCAAAAGAATGGACTTATCGTAGGTAATGCAGTACCTTTGCATTCCGAGTGTTTCCAAAGCTTCAATAGGCGAAAAAATGTAAATCCAAGTTATTTCCCGGGAGTTGGATGGAGAGTAGTGTTAGCTAACGAAACTAACGAAACAACCGCTTCGAGGCGAGTGTTCCCTGGTTGACACATGCGAATGGAAAGGAAATTTCTACAGCACGCCAGACGGCTGTGTTGTTCTGCTAATTTCAAGGAGTGGCCACTGGTGTTACTGTTGAGTTGCAGTAAAGCGCGGCACACGTGAGTTGGATTGTGTAAAATCAGGTATGACGTAAGCAAATCGCCTCGCAGTCGGCGATACTGCCCTGGGGTGCCCGGTGAAAGTCCAGTTCGATGTCCTATATCGATATAATGATTTTAAATTACAACCCGGCCTGACACTTCCCGCTAGCATGGTGGGTTCAATGTAGAGTGATTTGAGTAACACAGTTAAATTGAACGGTCTCAATGCCAGGTGGTAGGTATGTAAGCATCTTTCTAGAGGCCCAAAACATACCATGTTATCTTTCCAATTAATGTTACAGGAGAAAAAGGTGAAGAAGGACGATGCACAGCAAGTCAATCCGCCGAAATTCTTCCTCATTGAAGATATGGCCAACTTGACACATTTGAACGATGCGTCAGTGCTAGAGAACTTGCGAGCTCGATATTACAGACAGCTGATCTATGTGAGTGAGATAAACATGCATTACCACTTAAATGCTCCGGAGATATTCATTTAAGTCTATTTGATCGAACACGTGATCCCCTTTTTTGTGAGTAGTCACCTTGATATCCTCTCTACTTGTCTTTATCAGACATATTCTGGGTTGTTCTGCGTCGCAGTCAACCCGTACAAACGATTTCCGATATACACCGCCTCTGTGGCCATGAAGTACAAGGGGAAAAGAAGAAGCGAAATGCCTCCCCACATCTTTTCCATCTCAGATAACGCCTACCACAACATGCTCCAGGGTAAGTGTACTAGACAATGACCTACAAAACAACATCACTAAGTCGGTCACTTGATGTGACAGTTCAGTTGTTGTGGAGTTTTCCGAGCTGGGCAACTTGATTGTAAACGTTTCGCCACCATTCGAATCACCATCTTCAGTGCGGGATTGATAGCAGTTACGTAGCAGTAGCTGATAGAAAGCAAACCCAATCCATTGTTGGGTTTGCTTTCTACCAGCTACTGCTACGTAACTGCTATCAATCCCGCGCTGAAGATGCCACCCCGAATGATGGCGAAACGTTTGCAATCAAGAAGCCCAGCTCGGAGAACTCCACAACAACTGAGCAAGCCTCCCGAGCTACCAATATTCCAAATCATTTCGATGTGACAGTGACGAGAAATTTCGGTTTATTTTCCAGACCGCGAGAACCAATCTATTTTGATCACGTAAGTAATCCCCTGATTATAAACTTCGACAGTACTTCCCACTCCAATAAGACATTTTCCAAACTTACGAGAATCATGAACTTTAGACACCGACAACTAGAGTGTCCACATCGATGATATCTTGTTTAATTCACATGGTGATGATATTATCCCTACTCCACACCACCCCTCCCTTCAAATACAGCGGAGAGAGTGGTGCCGGCAAAACAGAGAACACGAAAAAAGTCATTGCGTACTTCGCTATTGTGGCCGCCGCGACCAAGAAAGAAGATGATGACCCAAAGAAAGTAAGCGAAATGCAGTTAGCTTCTCAGCATCTGATTACAAATGCGTCCTCTCACCTGATGCTTACCTTTCACCGTCACAGGGCACATTGGAAGACCAAATTGTCCAAGCTAACCCAGTACTGGAAGCCTACGGTAACGCCAAGACCACACGGAACAACAATTCCTCCAGATTCGTAAGTAAACGCTGGGTTTAAAACAGTCATTCTGCAATTTAGGGAAAATTCATTAGGATTCATTTCGGGACGACGGGAAAAATCGCAGGAGCCGATATCGAGCATTGTAAGTACTGATATTAGGCTAATTCGACTTTGCATCATAGATCTGCTGGAAAAGTCCCGGGTTGTGTCACAAATGAAGGGTGAACGTAATTACCACATATTCTATCAACTTTTGAGCAGTTATGGACAGAAATATCATGGTGAGTATGGAATCGATCGTTGCCATGATCCACGCGTACAACCCCTGCTTAAAATAACTTCCTTCGTTACTATCTGTGAACTACTTCCAAATTTGTAGACAAACTACTGGTTCAGAGCGACCCCGGTCTCTACTCCTTCATCAATCAAGGTGAACTGACAATCGATGGTGTGGACGATAGCGAGGAAATGAAGCTTTGCGACGTAAGTATTGGTACCTTGGTGATCAAGTGTTATTTTGAAGCCTAACCGTCTCATGATAAATATCGCATTATTTTTACCTTTTACGTTGGCAATAGGAAGCCTTCGAAATTTTGGGCTTCTCCGAGGAGGAAAAGATGTCACTGTTCAAATGCACCACCTCCATTTGTAATATGGGTGAAATGAAATTCAAACAACGACCGCGTGAAGAACAAGCCGAAGCGGACGGAACCGCTGAATGCGAGAAGGTGGCTTTCTTGCTGGGCGTAAATGCAAAAGATTTGATGACCTCTTTCCTAAAGCCCAAAGTCAAGGTGGGCACGGAGTTTGTCACGAAGGGTCAGAATTTGAGCCAGGTGAGTGGTGGTTCATTCAAGTATTTTATGAGTATTACCACTTCAGCAAGCACAGTGACCACAGAGCGTTTGTCTCCTTTTCCCATCAGGTAACATACGCCGTGAGTGCACTCGCGAAATCACTATACAACCGCATGTTCGGGTGGTTAGTAGCCCGCGTTAACAAAACCCTGGACACCAAGGTGAAGCGACAGTTCTTCATCGGTGTTCTGGATATCGCTGGGTTCGAAATATTCGTGGTAAGTTTTCGTTGGGTTTGGGACAGCAGAAGGCTATTATTGTATAGCTCGCATGACATTACAACAGCCTAACAATTTTTGGGGTACTCAACTCCATAGGAAAATGGTTTCGAACAAATCTGCATCAATTACACCAACGAGCGATTGCAGCAATTCTTCAACCATCACATGTTTGTGCTGGAGCAAGAAGAGTACAAACGTGAGAAAATCGAGTGGACATTCATCGATTTCGGTATGGACTTACAGGCCTGTATCGATCTGATCGAGAAAGTAAGCAAAATGTTTTGTACTAAGGCGGTGCCTTGAAACGTTAGAGTAGTATAGAACCGAAATAAACTAACGCGCGGTCGTTTATCTCTTTTACAAGCCCATGGGTATACTCTCCATTCTGGAAGAAGAGTGTATCGTCCCCAAGGCTACTGATCAAACGTTCCTAGCGAAACTGTACGACAATCACTTGGGGAAAAGCCCGAACTTCACGAAGCCGAAACCCCCAAAAGCCGGACATAAAGAAGCACATTTTGAGTTGCATCACTACGCTGGATCGGTAAGTGGTGGAACATTTCATTGTCCGATTTTCAAGTGTTACAGTCGTATTACAAAGCCCGCGGTACCAATGAGTGTGATCACGGTGTTTCGTTTTCCACAGGTACCTTACATCATTACCGGTTGGTTAGAAAAGAACAAGGACCCCCTGAACGAAACTGTGGTCACTTTGCTCGGTGGTAGTAAGGATGTCTTAGTGACGCAGCTATTCCAACCAGTTGTGGGTAAGCTCCAGTGTAACATTTGTGGCATTAAAGAATAAAGATGTGTAGGAAACACTAGTAGTGTTCGAAGTTTGTTTATACAATGTGCATCGGATTACTGAATTATAAACCTCTGTTATGCACTCGGTTGCGTAATTCTGTAGACAGTATTATAGGGGAAACTCACCCTTCTCTCATCCCAATGCCACGCAGTCTTAGTAACTGATAAAAGTCAAACAGGAACTAAGCTGATAAATCATTGATTGGGTAAATCCCCGTTACTAGAGTTGAACCATCTTCGTTTACATTGACTTTGTGTTCCCCTTCTTTACACTAACGTTTACATCAAATATTCCCACGACCTTTCTGCGCTTTGTTCCAAGCTGATGGAGGGAAAAAATCGAAGGGTGGATCCTTCCTCACCGTATCGTTTATGCACAGGGTAATTACCCATCTTCTAAACTCATATATCATCTCCGAACGGCTGTGGTTGCTGTCGCTACTGCTACTACGGCCGTCCACAATGCGCTTTAATCGCATCGTCTCATCGCCGTGTCATTTGGATGGGTCGAGACACACAACTGCCTTTTGACTTGGAAATGCATGCTGGCTGGAGACACGGGGAGGCCGAACGACAGAATGCACTAATACGCTTTGAAAAATCATCGAGATTTCCTCATCGTTTCAATTGCTTTGCATGACTAATTCTTTTTCTGATTTCATTCGCTATCTGCCTCATCATATATCACATCTTTTTTGTTTCCTAAAGTGGACCAAGGCGGCCGCAGAAAGGGCGGTTCCATGCAAACTATCTCATCGCTCCACAGGGTATTTTGGACGTAGTTTTTCTGCATAATGGGTGTTTACTAATTCGGTGACAGTAGCAGTGCAAAATGGTTTTTTGTTACCCATTGTTCGACCCACTCTGTGTTGCATGTGATTGAAGTGCCTGCCACAGGCCATGTGAATAAACAGTAAATCTACCCTCCCCTGCCTGCATTTGTAGTTGTCAACTGTATGAAGTTAGAATACAACTAGGGAGCCATGGGTCATTAGACCATAGAATAGGAAACGACGAAGTAATTCGTCGGTTTGAGGGTCTATGAACCGGTTCAAATGGTTTTCCGATTAGAGGATGTTATAGGACATCGAAGCAAGCCATCTGGTGGCAATAACCAGCTGTAACTTTGTTCTATTAATGCCAAAAACGTGGGCAAAGCACCTGCCATAGAACGTATCATAATGTGTCACCGCATGTCGCTCAGGTTACCTACACTAGTCTCTTTGTTGGCTGTGTTCATCGGCCTGCGGTTCATTTGCCTTGTACCTTGGTCTTGTGCCAACGCTCCGTGAGTTCGAAGGCATGTTGCTCAAATGCATGCGACAGCCACGGCTCTGTTCACTGAGGAACCGACACAAATCAGTGTTCGATTTTGTTCACTTTTTCAGGAATCACTGAACAAGCTGATGAAAAACTTGAACAGCACCAGCCCTCATTTCATTCGTTGCATTGTACCCAACGAATTCAAGCAACCTGGTAAGTGTGGCTCATTGATTTTACCTAGCGATTGCCACCAGATTCACCTGTGACCGCGTACTACTCGTCACTGCTTGGCATCGTGGACTTAGGATGCGCTGTACTTGCGGCTGTTCAAGCTGACAATTTCCTTTGGAATGCTTTGAGTGCACATCTCCGAAAGAGTCTAGATAATGGTTTGCAGGGAATATAGGGGACAAAGTTCGAGATTGTGTCAATGGAAGTCGTACCTCTCGGGCAAATCATGTCCTGTGTGTATTGGTGAGGTGTACGGCTTTGGGGTATATGACATACCAGCAACCATCCACAACGGTTCACCGACTTCGTACATGATTCAATTGTGTAAGTCGCAATCTTGTACCAAGAGAGTATTGGGCTTGAACCCAGCAAGACTCTCAGGATATGCCTCTTTCGAAAGGTCTTGATAAGACGAAACTGCAGTGTACAGTCTTTCTGCAGGTGTGGCAGCTGACTGACTGAACTAAATCAAGACGAATCTTCCCAAAATAATTCAAACCCTTCCAATACTTGCAACAGCAGTAAAAAATCAATTATCCACCGAATCCTCTGGACTCACCCATGTAGTGTATTTTCCTCAGTCACTAACGTACACGCTGTGGGGTGATTAGGTCTGCAATGAGGATAATAGACGTTTAATATTACTGTAGAGGCCATGGAGGTTTGAGGCCAATCAAAGCTGGCCGGTATTCGCTTTAGAAAGCGGTGCGACCACTAGCCCCACCAAAACAAAGCACCTGGTCACTAAGTCTGTCCTTTCCATAAGGTAGGCTTCCTCAAGCACTGAGCTACCAATAGTCAGGAAACCTGAAACAGGTGGATGTGCTCTATCTGTTTATCCTTCTAAATGATACGCATGGAATAATGCGTAGGGAAATCAAGTTTATCACAAGTGATCGGAAAAGATAATGAATTATGACACGTACTCAATTATCCAACGCAAAAGGCGGTCCATTTAACTAAACTGTCCGGCGTCCACTGCAGTATAAGTCGCAATTCAAACTGCGATTACGTGTCCTGATTCATTCTTACAACGGATATTCCAAGAAGAGGCAACAAGGAATCCCTGGCTGTTGTGAAAATTGCTATGGGCGGAACTCCACTGGGTAATTTTAAAAGCTTCAGTCGACAATCCTACATCCAATGTCCAGACTCCAGACTACATCTAGCGCTAAACAACGATATTGAACAAGCACCAGTTATGTCATGTAGGGCAGGGTTGTTATTCGGTTACTAGAGTGAATCGCCATCAAATTTTTCTTTGGACATTTAATCAAGCACAACTCCAACTTCCACTTTCCTTGCTAGGTGTCATCGACGCTCATCTTGTATTGCATCAGTTACACTGCAATGGTGTACTGGAAGGTATTCGAATCTGTCGGAAGGGATTCCCCAACAGAATGATCTACTCCGAGTTCAAGCAACGGTGAGTGAATAAGTCTTATTCGGTCAGTTGTAATCGCGACAAGCAAGGTAACGACACATGATATTGGCCCATTGCGTATATTTTTCATTCGTCCACAGTTACTCCATCTTGGCCCCAAGCGCAATCCCCGAAGGCTTTGTCGATGGTCGACAAGTCACGGAGAAGTTGCTGGAGGCCACACAACTCGACAAAGCTCTGTACCAGTGCGGCAACACCAAGGTGTTCTTCAAGGCCGGTACGCTGGCTAGTCTGGAAGACATGCGCGACGAGAAGTTGTCTGCCATCATCAGTCTGTTCCAAGCCGAAATCCGGGGCTACCTGATGAGAAAGCAGTATCGAAAACTACAAGACCAAAGGTGTGTCTCGAGATTTTTAAGTGGGGCATTCCACAAGCGCTTAACTGGATCCAGATTTGATGGGCTCCAGTTACAGTGCTCCAGGGAACATGCTTCTAGAGTGAATCAGACGCATGTGCTAACGTAACGCTGTGGGTGTAAGAGACAAACATCTAGCTTAGTGCTTAGTCAGAGCCTCAGAACAAGGACACATTTCTCTGCTGACTCAGTGGTTCGCGAACTGACGATTCGGTGCCACTGATCAATGGTATGATTGATTTCACCCGAGTCTTGATAATACCATAGTTAGTAGAGCACCTCCAGCTCCTTGTGGGCAAAACGAATCTTTCTGCATGGTACTCCGGGGTTCAGTCTTACCCGAGTAGCCTTTCATCGAATGTGAACCTAAAAATGGATTGATCAATGAACCGTAATTAGTTAGTGTTTATGTTCTTACCTTTCTCTGCTGTCCAGGGTTGCATTAACACTGATCCAGCGCAACATTCGCAAATATCTGATGCTGCGTAATTGGCCGTGGTGGCGACTCTACACAAAAGTGAAGCCTATGCTAAACATTGCTCGCCAAGAAGAAGAAATGAAAAAAGCGGCCGAAGAATTGGCTAAACTGAAGGAAGATTATGAGAAGTTGGAGAAGCTAAAGAAGGAACTAGAGGAACAGAATGTAACCGTGCTCCAGCAGAAAAACGATCTGTTCCTGCAGCTTCAGACAGAACAAGATAGTCTAGCAGAGGCGGAGGAGAAAATCTCCAACCTGGTTCTTCAGCGTGGCGATATGGAAACAAGAATTAAAGAACTAGAAGAACGTTTGGCTGATGAAGAGGATGCCACTGCGAATCTAAATGAGATGAAAAAGAAACTTAACGCAGAGATCGAGGAACTGAAGAAAGATGTCGAAGATTTGGAGTCGTCCTTGCAGAAAGCCGAGCAGGAGAAACAGACGAAGGATAACCAAATCCGAACTTTGCAGGGTGAAATCGCCCAACAGGACGAGGCAATTGCAAAGTTGAACAAAGAGAAAAAGGCTCTTGACGAGCAGAACAAACGCACGCAGGAAGCCCTTCAGGCCGAAGAGGACAAGGTTAACCATCTCAACAAACTCAAAGCCAAATTGGAATCCACTCTAGATGAAGTAAGTCAGTAGTATTGAACAGCGACCTAGTTAGCTTGTGAGAAACGCTTTGATGTTCCCAGTACAAATATTGCCTTTCTTGTCACTCTACATAGATGGAAGAGAACCTGGCTCGAGAGCAAAAGATTCGTGGTGATGTGGAGAAAGCTAAGCGAAAACTCGAAGGTGACTTAAAGGCAACACAGGAGACAGTGGATGACTTGGAGCGTGTCAAGCGGGACCTCGAAGAGCAGTTACGACGCAAAGAGACAGAAATCGGAGGACTTCACAGCAAGTTCGAGGATGAGCAGGGTATTATCGCGCAGTTACAGCGCAAGATTAAGGAGTTGCAAACCCGAATTCAGGAACTGGAGGAAGATCTGGAGGCAGAACGTGCAGCCCGGTCGAAGGCTGAGAAGGCTCGTCAGCAGGTAATCAAGCCTCACGTATCCGTTTAATCAGCTATGAAGCCGTTGCGATCTTGGTAGTGCAATTATTTACCCCTTTTCCCTCGGTTAACTTTCCCAAAGGTCGAAGCCGAATTAGAAGAGGTGGTTGATCGCTTGGAGGAACAAGATGGTGTGACAGCCGCCCAAATGGATCTGACCAAGAAACGTGAAAACGAATTGATGAAGTTGAAGCGCGATTTGGAAGATGCCCGCATCCAGAACGAGCAGGCCATTGCGGCTATGCGGAAAAAGCAGAGCGATGCTGTCAATGAAATGGCTGATCAATTGGACCAAGCAAACAAAGCGAAAGCCAAGTAAGTACTTTGTGTCATGTCCGCCTCAACACAACGTACTAGCCGCAACAATTAGAACGAGCATTCTCACACCTCCGCATACGTCCATTTAATTAACAGAGCCGAAAAGGAACGCAGCCAATACAAAGCCGAGGTAGACGATCTTCACAGTCAGTTGGATGGAGCCACCAAGGCCAAGGTGAGAGCGAATGTTACAAGCCACTAAGAAATTCACTGTATTCTTCTCACATCTAGTGACACTACTTTTACCACACATTAATGTATTTTACATCCGCAGATGAATTTGGAGAAGAATATCAAAGCGCTGGAATCGCAGCTGTCCGAAGTGACGGCCAAATTGGATGAATCTCTCCAACAGGTCAATGAGCAGGCATCGTTCAAGGCGCGCAGTAGTCAAGAGAACACCGAATTGCAACGACAACTGGAAGAGGCCGAATCGTTGATCAGCCAGCTAACCAAAGTCAAACAACAACTGTCTGCTCAGTTGGAAGAGGCTAGACACAGCTTGGAAGATGAGAGCAGGGTAGGTGGACGGCGGAACAGTACATCGTGTCATGATGTAGACCATCCTTTAGACGGGACTTTACTTCATGGCTGAAGTTTATAGCATTACATGATTAACCCAAAACTATAACAAACATTTTGTGTGTTTTATTCCAACCTCTTTGACTGCAGATGAAGGCAAAACTGAATTCCGAAGTGCGTAACTTGACCAGCGATCTGGATTCGTTGCGTGAGTCATTAGAGGAAGAGCAGTCCGGTAAGGCAGATCTACAACGGCAGCTGCAGAAAATGCAGGGCGAACTACAGCAGCTTCGTAGCCGTGGTGGTGGTGGCGGTGATGTCCGCTCAGAAGAGATGGATGAGTTAAAGAGGCGCATGACCGCCAAAATCCAAGAACTGGAGTCTGAATGCGAGGCGGCCAAATCTAAGTGTGGCCAGTTGGAGAAAACCAAAGCACGACTTCAGGGTGAGCTGGAAGATCTCATGGTTGATGTCGAACGCGCAAACGGTATGGCCAGTCAGCTGGAGCGCAAACAAGCCAACTTCAACCGAACTCTGGCCGAGTGGCAGAAGAAATATGCCGATGCCCAGGTAATTTCATGGTTGTGTGCAATGTGCCTCGCATTCTCAGTCCGACTGAAAGAAAAGACCTCACTAATTCTCGGTGATATTCACATTTAAATTCTAGGCCGAACTAGAGAACGCTCAACGAGATTCGCGAACTCAGTCGACCGAAATGTTCCGACTGAAGGCTCAGTTGGAAGAAGCACATGAGCAGATCGAAGCTGTTAGACGTGAGAACAAGAATTTGAGTGGTGAGTCGCAACGTATAGTCACTTAGTCACTACCGAATCTGTATGTTTGCTCAATTGTCACACGTGATCTTTCCACCTCCACTGCAGATGAGATCCATGACCTCACTGAGCAATTGGGTGAAGGTGGCAGATCCGTGCACGAGATCGACAAAACACGTCGGCGGTTGGAAATGGAAAAGGAGGAATTACAGTCCGCTTTGGAAGAAGCTGAGAGTGCGTTGGAACAGGAAGAAGCGAAGCTGCAGCGTGCTCAGCTAGAAATGGCCCAAGTGAGTTGAGACGAAACGCAAAATTAGCAATGATCATTCTCTTTATCAATGTTCGACTAACACTAGCCACTCCTTTTGTAGGTCCGACAAGAAATCGATCGGCGGTTGGCTGAGAAAGAAGAAGAGTTTGAAGCCACTCGCAAGAACCACCAGCGTGCAATGGAATCGCAGCAAGCCAGCCTGGAGGCGGAGGCTAAAGGCAAGGCTGAAGCACTTCGCGTCAAGAAGAAGTTGGAACAAGACATAAACGAACTGGAAGTGAGTTTGGACAACGCGAACCGGAACCGAGCTGAGCAAGAAAAGAATGTAAAGAAGTTGCAACAACAAGTCCGTGAAGTCCAGTCTCAGTTGGAAGACGAACAACGGCAGAGGGATGACTTGCGAGAACAATTCCAAGCCGCTGACCGACGTTCCATGATGCTTGCCGGTGAAATCGATGAGATGCGTACTGCACTGGAACAGGCGGAACGTGGTCGTAAGATGGCTGAAGCAGAGCGCGCAGAAGCCGCCGATCGAGCTACGGAACTTTCGACACAGAACGCCTCGCTCGCCGCTCAAAAACGCAAACTTGAGGCCGATCTGGCTGCAATGCAAGTGAGTGCTACAATAAGAGGACCTGTTACATCAACAGCTACATTAACCGCCTGATGGTTGGCTATGTTGCGCGCAGCAGTTAGAGAGGAGCAACGAATCTATCTTCCATGCAACATATAAGCTCATTTGGTTCATCGAAGAGGTCATTTTTGAAGCACATGCTGTGTGAATGGATTGTGATATGCAATCTTAATCAGATGGTTTCATTATTTGTTTCAGGCTGACCTGGAAGAAGCTGCCAATGAAGCCAAGCAGGCAGATGAGCGAGCCAAGAAGGCAATGGCGGACAGCGCTCGAGTATTTGAGGAGATTCGCCAAGAACAAGAGCACACACAACACGTAGAAAAGGCAAGAAAGCAACTGGAACAGCAAGTGAAAGAATTACAAGTGCGTCTGGAGGAGAGTGAGTCTGGAGCGATGAAGAATGGTCGTAAAGCGGTCGGTAAACTAGAGCAGCGCGTCCGTGAACTTGAGACCGAACTAGAGGCGGAGCAAAGACGACACGGCGAAACTCAGAAGAATCTGCGCAAGGTTGATCGACGTATGAAGGAGATCAGCATGCAGGTCAGTTTGGTTATACCTAACAAATTGTGGCATTTAAACCGCAAACTGACACGTACGCACATACCACATTCGTGTTATCTAATTCATGCTGATTGTTTTAGAGCGAAGAAGACAAAAAGAATCACGACCGCATGCAAGAGTTGGTGGAGAAACTGCAAGGTAAAATAAAAACCTACAAGCGTCAAGTGGAGGAGGCCGAGGAGATTGCGGCCATCAATTTGGCTAAATATCGCAAGATACAACATGAGATCGAAGATGCCGAGGAGCGAGCTGACCAGGCCGAACAAGCGCTACAAAAACTCCGCGCCAAAAATCGTTCCTCTGTTTCCACAGCCAGAGGCACTAGTGTTGCTCCCGCCGGTGGTGGCCCAGGCGTAAGTGACATTTTAAGGAACTAAACAAAAGTTCGCTTTCATCATAATCCTCGGTGCAAATTATGTAAGTACTAATGTTGTGCAATGGTGGGGCCAGCCCTACATCAATGCGTCTCGTAAGACACTTTGTGATGCTTGTTCTATACCGCAATTTTCTCTCTTTCGTAGAATCGCGTGCGCAAACCCACTGCAAGTGTTGCTCCGGATGAATAGTGAAGTAAGTTTTCTGTAGCTCTCTCCACAAGGGTTAACGTTTCACCGGCGAACTCGTTCACTTTCGCTATGTAAATAACTTTTCATTGCGGATTTTCTTTCAGAAAAAGGACAGTGTCGAAGCATTGTTTCCCATGCACTTAATTCTCAATCCCATTCACACCAATCCCACTCCCCGTTTCCGACATGTGGTCGCCAGCGACTCTGGACCGCGCCAGCCCTCGCACTATGTTTTCACCCAGCCACTCCTACTTCAGCAACTCCCATCTACTACTGCTGCCGCTGTTACCGCTTCAAGAACCTTTGTCTCCCTTTGGTGTACGCCCGCAACCGTTGATTTATAGTCTAGGCGTAGTCCCATTCGGTTTTGGTGCAAAAGAACCCTTTTCTCCATAGACATCAAACGAAGAGGCATTACTGTGAAGCGATCTCATGTCAAACGGATACCAGAATAGGTTATCCACCACGCCGACCTCTGCAACTGTGTTCGTGAAGCCCCATTTGGCCGATTAGTGACACTGCTGTAGATACGGTTTGTAACGCCGTACATATTACACAATTCCATGCATGAGATCATTCACTCCTTGGTACAATCCCACACAGTGACAGCTACTTAGACCTTGTGCTCTCAACACCACATCCGCACACGCACATCCTTTTATGATCCCTCTAGTTTCGAACAATGCACCCCTGTGTGCACTCAAGGGGTGAATCTTTTCCACCCGAATGGATTGTGCCAGTTGGTCGAGATGGAATCTCCGCTTTTAACGCAGTCTCGCCCACACATCCACTTTCGCCCCTGGCCATTTGTATTTTCGGTGACCTACTCACGCGACTTTTCGGTCAGTCAGTGGCATGCAATTTTGTCCTGCTCAACTATGGACTCCTAGTGGTCTGTCCCGAAGTGGTCACGTTCATTGTGTGCGTGTGCGTATGTGCATGTGAATATTATGGTCCCCCAGACATGCATGTATTATCACCGACTTCGGTGTCCCCATCCCACTAATCTCGATCTTCATTCTAACATTTTGTCCTACCTGTCATTCGCCAAATTTGTGGAACAGAAGCGCAATTCTTTGAATGACACACGACCTTAAGACATTGGTTATAAAGATCTCTTGTTTTCTTTCACAATGGAAGGGACGCGGGGTGACACAAGATTTGTCTTATAAAGGAGTGTAGATAGACGCATGACTTATGTGCTTTACTTAGTTTACCACAATTGGATTACAAGCCAGATGGCCAACTACTGATCCGGCAAAATCAGACGGCCGCTTCATCCCCTTTGGATTCGACAGTGACGGCCGTCTCTCATAACTCGTTAGCCCAACCTGATGGCCAGTGATGCAAACCACCAGGGGCTTGAGAGAGGCGCACCATTGACAAGTGCCAACTGGGAAAAACGGCCGTCTGGTGCTTTTCCGGATTGGTAGTTGGCCTAGATGGATGGTACTTGCGAGGAGCTAAATAAATCCCCCCAAATCCCTCATGAATGGCTATCATGCCGATTGATAGATGGTTCGGCGACTGTGGTCGGCAGTCGGATATCAGATCAACCGTGTGAGATCACCTTCAGGGGTCTATTTAGCAGGGCACTAAAAGTGATTTTGCGTCTAATTATGTGTAAGCTTTTGCTTCTTACATAAACAGATTAAGCAAGTTACTTAGGATGCATCGCTATTTTCTTGTACCTACTGACACAAATATGATCATACCTATTTAGTTGCCAAAAGCTTCAACCCAGCTACAACTGCCGGTTTACCGACCAGTAGGAGGCTGCAGAATAGTCAGCCCGGTGGATCTCATTAGTCCAAGCATATCAACTGAAACGCTTACCGAATTAGCCGGGTATAATATTACACGAATGCGGTTGGTGTGTGCAAAATGCCGATGCGAACTAGTTCCGAAGCGCGTGAACCCTCTTTTCGAGATGAATTTATCACCGAGCTTAAGCAGCAAAGAGCAGTGACGAGTTTCTAGTGCCCATATAAACCCAGGCACCTCACAGTGATTCTGTGCTATGGCATAAAAATAGCAATCCCGAAAAGCACCATATGAAAGACATAGGTAGAAAATTGGTGAACTATACAACGCCGTCATAAAAAAGGAAGCGAAGGAAAATGGGAAACCGTTACCACCACTCGAGCAGGTAATTGCACACATGGTGTAAGCTGGAGGTCGATACCCAGCGTAGGAATTCGTCTACTTTGGCAGCATAATGCGATATAGCCGTAATTAGACGGGGCAAGTGTGGTCAGCTGCGAGTTCCTACATGAAGATAGGGTCGATTCGACGCGGCTTTCCCACTCAATCCCACATCATACTCAACATTTGTCTACAGCTGCCGCAACACCGTACAAAATAAAAGCAGGCGATCAGACAAAGAAACGAAAGTGAGCCTGTCATTGGGGCAGAGTTCGGGTTATATTCAGCAATGCGGCGATTACTCACATATCCAATTACCTAACTGCTAAACTATAGAGCAAGATGGGCCATCAGAAATCAGCTTAGTGATTAATGGCTTCATTTCCAAGGCAAACAGTTATCCATCCAACGTGACATCATCCAGAGTCCACTAGATATTAAGGTGTTCAATGCACTTTTAGTTAAGGTTGACAGTATTTTCTTGCTCCAATGCGTCACCCCCAGCAGGATGTCGGTGTATTTCCACAAGTACACTCCTACACACACCTCTGCTATCCTGTCACTATGGTGCCTTTCGCTCACCACTTTAAGCAGTTTATCGACTAAATTAGGCAGAGGAAAGTCAATCAATCTACACCGGAAACCACGGAAGCTGTCACTAATAAAACATGTGAATACTTGTAAATTTTATCAAACCTACATTATTACCAGTTCAATCAGGTTTACGCGAAAACCCGGGCGCAAGTGAGGAGGCACCATAATGATGAGCGATGTGTTGACCTCGGCCTGTAGCCGAAAGGTCGGAGGTCACTAGTTCGCGCCTGCGTAGGTGCTCGGGTGACACTCACATATCTCTAGGCCACGCGCGACTGGTGTTGGTGGCGTTGCAACCAGGAGTCGGTACGGAGCATCGGCGTACTGCTGATACCTCTTGTGTCAAGGATGACTACTGTTAAATCTTGCGGTGAACCAATTTTGACACGTTCCTTTACTCGGGTGTTCAATATCGCATTGATTCTGCCCATGTAACTGTCTCCGTATCCACCTAAGAGCGGATACAAACAAGAGAAATACATATATGCACCAGATTCAATTTGCTCCACAATGCAATTCGGCCATGTCGTCTACTACTGCAAATACGAGCTTCTTCGAAATAGCAGGCTTGCCAAGAAAGCGATAACTTTTGCGAATTCATTCTATTTTCATCTGCGTTTTGAAATCTCAAATAGTAACCCAAAAATAAGGTATCGAATTATAAAAGTTCTTCTGTATGCACCATTCAATGTCGCTATGGACGAAATTATGGAAGTTGCATTCATTGGACACGCCTTATGTGTGGATCTGCTCACAGGTGAACGAATTCTCAACTTGGAGTATGTCGATGATATTGCCCTAATTTAGGGCAGCTCATAGACATGCAAACCAGCACTGAACAGATTGGCGCTGGTTGTCAACCGTTTCGGGTTGTGCACATTGCACACTTAAAATGCAAAGCTTTTTTCCCAAGATTGGCAGCGACCACTGACTCTTGGTTGGAATCAACTAGAAGTCATTCAGAAATTCAATTACCTGGGCAGCTGTATCAGTGCCTGTGGAATCGGACAAAAGATCACGAACCGTAAAGCAAGTGCGTGAGACACTTTGGCTAACTCTGCCAAATGAGGCGTCGGTGCCACATCACTCTCATCCTGAAGAGTAGAGTCTACAGCACAGTCGTCCACCCAGTCCTACGTGCGACCACAGGTTCCTTCGAAATCTGGTACACCTAGTGCGAACAATGCGTACGCGATAAATGTGTTCGGCGTCTCGTATTTGGTGCAAGAAGAACGAGTGAAGCGACTAGGTATGAGCATCCAATCCCAAAACCAGGCCGGTGAGTCAACAACCGGTTAGGGTAAAAGGAACAGCGGCCTATAAAGTGGTCCACATTTTCCCTCTTTCCACGCTTTTGTGAAACGTTGTTTGTAAGTCCGCAAATTTCGTCGTTGCAGTTTGTGTATTCAGAAATGGTTTGTTAACTAACTGATAGAATTTGTGCCTATCATAAAATGTGAGTGAGCATTTGCTTGCAAGTTTCCTATCAGTTACTTCAGTTCGTTGCGTTTCAGACTCGACTTGAGAAGCTGGGGAGGAAGGGTACAAGTATCGCAACCGTACGAAGCAAGTGTATTTTTTTAAACTAATGACGAAAGTCGGATATAGAAGACAAAATCTCCAGATCAAATCAGTGCTTGTGGACCTGGCTACTATCGTCCTAGGAACGGCGGTCATATTAGGGGAACAGCAACTCCTGAGGATCATTCCGGTTTGCACTTTAGAGTAACAGCGGCGGTGTATGATAGGGACTTCGCAATATTGACCTCGACATCAGTTGGGGCCCACAGGCAAAACATCAGTGCAAGGGTGCTTCTCCGCCTAAGTTTAGATTAAGCACATCTTGTGTTACGCAATTTTTGGAGCGTTCGCTACATGATAGCTGCCATACGACCATCGGACCTAGAGGACAGTGTCACACGACCGATTTGCCCAGCTGAGATTCGTCCGTTAGTTATCTTGTCCGAAATACTTTAGACTCGAAGCTACAACCCAGAAATCCAGTAACTTACGTTAATAGCCGGAGATAATATTGCGGGGAGAATGGGGTTAGTATTCTGTGGCAAAACATTCACGCTACCAATTATCATAAATAAAATGTCTGTACTGATTATAAGGACGTAGTATGGAAATGTACTCTAACAGATCGCGAAATTTACGTACGACTGTACGTTAGGCAGAGGTATTTTGAATTCCATCATACAAAACGGTCGACTTATAGCTGGACGATATGCTTAACTGGTTCATATGTGGGCCTCAAACCGATGAATCGATCGGTTTTGTTGATCCGTAACAGTCCGTCAAGTGACTATGAGCGAGTGAGTTTTCGAAAGAATCCGAGCATCGCTCAACCGCTGCTCGATCGAATTACAGTGCACTTGCTTTCTTCCAAATCGACTGGATCAATACCTACTCGCCACTATCCCACCTACTCCGACAGACTATCAGCAGGGTTTACGATGCCAGTAGTGTCGACGAGAAAACCAGAGCAGACACAAGAATTTCACCGTGATAGCGATTATGACGGACATTTGCCTCTCACACTGGGATTGGGTTTGCTCGTGGGAACCGTGTCGTTCTTATTTGTGGGTCTCCTGTTCATAATATGCCAACGTTTACGAAAGTACCGAGGGATGTTGACCGAAAACGATGATGGCTACACTGCTCTGGACGACAACGAGCATATACAGTTCGATAAGGAGAAGCTTCATTTAACCACTGTACCCGGAACCACTGGGGAATCGAGTTCCAAGCCTGGTTATGTTTCGACGGATACTACGGCCCAGAAACGAGTGCTGTTTGAGGCTTTTTCAATCGGAGACGAGGATGATCAACTTAGCGATGTAGAGAATAACAAGTTAGCTGTTAGACCAGTCAAGTCACACCATGTTAAAGTCGAACCCATCACCATCATGACAAGTGTCACCGTGGTTCCGCAACAAACTCCCGAGGTGAGTTGATCGATGCAATAAATACGAATTGTATGTCAAAAAGTATGGCAGTATGAACATTATGTTCTAATGCGATGACAACGCGGTTCTGAAGCCCGTAGGTAGGTTGGGAAATTATCTGAGTACCGAACAGCGAGGGAATTATAGTTGTCCTGATTTGCATCACTGCCATCGTAGGACAAATAACAAAAATGGTAGACGAAGGCAAACACGCAAATTTACACAAAATCAGCGAAGAAAAAAAGGAAAAGGGAAAGCTGGTGAGCAAAACAATGGCGGCAAACTTAAACAGACTATAAGGAACATCACCAACACCATTTCCTGGACAGTGACACCTGATAAGGACTCTAAGCACTGATGTGGTTCCATTTGGGCAGGCAGATGGCATGACTGTTCCGGGTGCACAACTGCTTTAAAAGGTACTAAGGAAAAATGTATTCAAAAGCTGTATATGCGAAACGACTGGTTAGATTCGCTTGTGAAGCCTGCACTAGATCACTCTAGACCAGTGGTTCCCAACCTTTATGGGACTGTTACCCCTAACGAGGATTCAATATAAACAATTATCCTCCTGTTTCTGAAAAGTAAATCAACTATTCGCTATCGGAGGTCATTACTTAACCTATGGAAAATGAATTATTTTTCAGTGAACTTCAATCAGCAAAACAAATGCCTATTTTGAACAATTTTGTTATCAACTCAAGAGGTGATGTAAGTTAATGGGATGGTTGATATTGCTTAGTTTAAACAAGTTACTTAATGTTCAGGTCAGTTTCGGCTAAAGCCCATTATAAGTCGTGCTCCAAGTTAAATTCGTTCCTTGCTTTCGTGTTCAGAAGAGTTGCGCTTTGGCTTTAAGTACAGTAGCTAGAAGTACTTCTTTATCCACTGTAAAGGGTCATAGCAACCATGCATTTACTTGGCGATTTTCCAAATCGGAAAAGTATTTGCATACAATTAGTTAATTAATTAACTCCTTACTCTGACGGTTTCGTCCTTACGGACGCAGTGCAAGCCGATAATGTGAGATAAAGCATCGGAATATCGTATTGTACAAGTGGAGAAGGACAATTCATGGTTTCGCATTTATATAGTTTACGACTCCATTACTTCGTGGTTCAACAGAGATACCGTGAAGACATAGAATGGAAAGTGCAAGAACGAAGCCACCAAACTGTTACTAAATGTACGATGGGTGGTAACTAAATGCTAAAGAAAGAAACGCGGGTAACCGGAAAGTACTTATTTTATCTACGTGGCACGCACCTAATCCTCTACTGACATGGTCAGATGAGAAAAACGGCCAAGAATATGAGAAAAGTGGCAGTCAGTTTCCCGCTACTGGAGAACAAAAAACGAAATTGCTATCATCAAACATCGCAGTAGGTAAACGTCGATTCCGTGACACCAAGCTTGCTCGGTGTTTGTCCAGGCCTATTTTGCAGACAGGTTGACAGGTTGTTGAAACCCTATATCGCTGCATCGGCATTCTAAAGCTAAAGTTGGCTCAGACAATTGTATCTACACACATTAGTTGTCGCATAAAACTTGCTTCGAAGATAATCAGCGACATTAGCGGCCATCTGTACGCAACATTGACTGAATGTATGTCTAACTCGCCGACCAGAAGAAAGCACGGAGTAACTTATGCTCACATCCGGACATATAGTTCGTCGGTCTCTTTTTAGCTAGCTAGATTTCCACTTAAGCAAAACGCTATTATCCAATGATTGGTCGACTAATGTTAGCAGTAAGGTTATGTTATTTAATGAACTTTTTCATTCGCTAGCGTTTTACAGTTTTTGTATTGCTGTTCTCTCATGCCAATGACATTTGTATTACGCTTGAAAATTCCCCTGTCATTGGTCATAAAAGTGTATGCTTAACCTGACGTGTTGGTTACATCTAGAAATCTGGTGAGTAGACCCGACTTTGTTGAAAGGAGGCGGCAGTCCTTCCTCTCAAACAAGCACCACCTTGACTGTAGTAAAGGCGATAGGCACACTCAGTAAACCATCACATACTGTGTGTAAACGAACAGGGTTTGTGGTTAGCCAAACGGAACTAGAAAATCTGGTATCCAGCTAACCCCTCAGACCTCTGCTGCTTTTCGATGACTGTACACAGCATAGATTGCCCGTAATAAAATCACTCGCCAAGGGGAATCTCTCGCTAGGCGTGCATAGACAACCTAGTGAGTTTCCAGAATTCATAAATATTGCAAAGATGACTGGAGTTTTTTAGCGTTCTTTGTGACTTGGTGTCAATAAGCAGTGGGCTTCGGGCTCAAACGCTTCTGTATTCAGTGCGAACCAGATCAGATTAATACACGTTAGTTGAGGGTGAGAAACATACCACAGCTAATGTGCCGCAAGATAAGGTACTAAAAGAGGTAGATTACAAAAGGGATTCCAAGCAAGTAATACAAGTAATACAGCGTGCTCCCTAAATTCAGCATTGAATTATATTATGCGTATGTATGAGATCGGAATTGGAGAGGAAATGTTTCAAAGTGCTCACTTCTTCCTCCTCTGACAGTCATTAACTGACCGCAGATAAAAAGAGTCTCAACGGCATCGTCTTGCCCGAAGTAACTCACGGCAACGCATAATTAGCAGGCAGATTCATAGGAGAAATTCCTGCTTTATGAGATGATGCGAACTGACGAGGGAATGGCAATGATGCGACTGATGCAGCGTTTTCACCAATCCCTTCTGTATGCTTCCAAACGTGTTCGAAACAGTGACAGTAAATCGCATTATCCTCTCACATTTGGATAAACTGTGACGCTAATCTTAATGTTCCCTGATTCCACTGGGCGTAATGGATTTAAAGTAAGCAAACGGAACGCATGGAATCCAATTCGCCAAAATGTGGAAGTAATCAGACTCCCTAGCCTCAGGTGAAAGGCGGAACCCATTGTAATATGATGTTCGTTGCAAATAGACTCAGTCATAGCCATCGTATATCCAGGAAAGCGCTAGACAGCTGTTTCGACCCATCGGGACTCGTCAGTAGTGTACATCTGCCTAATTCTGTTGCATCTGAGCCCATGAACATACTATTACGAGTCCGACGGATGCGCGCTACTAAGGAACAGAAATAGGACGAGACGACAGCATAGCGCTTTTGCTACTATTCTCTGATAATCAATAATCGACTTAGCAGCATACGTGTCACCTCGGTCGGTGGCGATTTGCAAAGTTAGCCGTAGCACTAGGGGCCAGCCCTGTCCTCTGCATGTGGAGGATGAGCCGCGATATATCACAGTAAGAAATCACTCATCGCGGTCCCCCGTCGCCGTCATTCATGGCTCAGTGGCTGTAGGCGCTGACTCATAAAAGTAAGGTCATAGATCAGAATCGTGCAGGTGCGCGCTACTGACGAGTCCTAAGCGAACGAAACGGCCGTATAGCGCCTTCCAGAGTGTGTGGTGGCTGTCCGCCTGTCTGACTAGGAGCAATCCTCTCGAAAGCACAAGAAATCCCCTAATATTCTAAGCATCACAGTGTTGTTCGATGCTGTGATCAAGCTGATGCGCACAATCGCTAGTTGAGTGTGTCCGTGTTGTACATCACTTGGACACATGAGGAAATAGGCGCATTGGTCCTCGGGCATTGAGTGGCACGTATTGAGAACAAGCGGTTACCGTTACGACTGGATAAGCCGATACCGTACAGTCCCGCAATGTCTACGAGCACCGAGGCACTACATCCGACATATGCTTTGAGGTCACCGAGTGGTTGCTCCTAGGTACCCACACTGTTAAGGAGGATGAGTGAGAGTGGAATTGGACTTCCTTGTCATTGGGATGAGCCACTGTAGGGTTATACGTGCCGATAGGTGTCTTAGACACACCTCAAACGAGCCGTGGAAGAAGTGACATCCAACTTGGGCATACACAGGTGAAGGCGAAAACCATGGCGATCTACTAATAACGTGTCAGATGCTGTGAAAACTAAAACACGTTTGTCATCACATTGTGAAATTGAACCCCACTATCACATCGAGAGATCAGCGGTTAACGCTGGCCCCACAGTATAGCCGGTCGGAATGACACAGGAAGTTCTTCCCTTTTCGTGCGTATCAAAAATGGAACTCCCCTGTTAGGTTATTTCTGCCCTCACATTACGGGTATGCAAAAAGCGTCTTGACGACAATGTGCCATAGCACTTCCTGACCAGGGTGTCAGCGTAACACGGACATTCAGAGTGCTCAGTTTAACTTCCTGATGAGTCCAGTAACACTTGCTTTATTTCGTCAACATTACTGTGTTTTCCGAATTATTTACCTCTCCAATCTGTAAGGACTGTTAAGCAGCAGTTCTTTTTACTCAATGTTCCTTACAAGAGGTTAGAAATGACGAAGGTGACTGATTATTCAGGTGGAGATGTAGCTACATTTCTAATTCAACTGATAGTGTAGCAAGAACATTCCTAGCACTAATTACCCTGTGCAAGTGTTAGAACACGTCCTATTTGTTCGACTCCTGGCCGGGATGAACCAAACGCCCTTCCCCAATAGTATCCGACATGCAGAGTAGCTAAGTGAATTCGGATCGATGCAGCCCAAGGGATCCAGCCACCAGACGTGTGCACATGCGAACAGAGACTGGCAGCGAAGTGCGTCCCTTTGCACGATTGCACTGTGACCCAGAAAAGGAAGACTGGCCGATAGCAAGAGTTGGTTGACTAACTCAGCCGAGGTCAAATCATGCACTACAGGAGAAAGTGACAGTTGGTAAGAGACATAGGTGGCCATGTAGTGGCAAGGTCCTAGGGGAAACTCATTTGAGGTCAGTGTAGCTTGGGGCGATAGATACAGCAATATCACTGGGAGAAGCTTAGGTGGAGTCTGCGCAGTTTGCATTGGCACATAAAAGCGGTTTCGAAGAGGAGAGCTCAGCTGCTAACTGAGTAGTTCGAGTCCCCACATGATGACAATATTGCTTAGGTGAGATTGGGCGAACTCTGCACAAGGTTAGCGGAGCTGTGTGTTCCGCAACATCAGGCAACTATGGCTCGTTGATATTTTTACAATCCCAAAGCACGAGGTCCATGGTGACACGAGCGCGGTGCGTCGTTATCAAACGCCGAATTATGGCCTGATTCACGAGGCTAAGCAAGTTTCACTGTCCAGTTGCGGTAAGTCACGCGAACGAATGAGACAGAAGTAAGTAATGGCGAAGGTGGAAATCTGGTGTGAGGACTGGGGGGGGGGGGTAAAATGCGGAGCGGACGTGTAAGAAAAGTCGAGCGATGAATCGGTCATAGCATATTCTGGCGTTTCTACCACGCTGTGTATAATCCGCGTAGGGGCAGGCGTCCTCGCGGTATACTCAGCCCACGCGCGACTGGTGGTGGTCGCGTGGCAGCGAAGCGCCGTTACGGCGTACAGCTGGCGATTTACCTTTACTTACTTAGGGAGACGGGAAATGCACTATGAGACCGTCTATCTACACATTATTGTAGTCGAAATAGACTCTATACACCCTGATGTGTAAGATTTCAACATTTACGCTAACACTACGGATGCGATCTGACCTGAAACCATGTGCAAAGGGGAAAAAGCCAAATATGCGACCATGTCACTCATGTGAGTGTAGTTCACTCGTGATAATAATGACTTTCGTGGATTCCAAGAAAACGTGATGATCACGTTAATGTAGAGCTAAGACAGGATTCAATGAAAGAAAACGGAGTCATCAATTCAAAGTGCGTGGACGAGGAGGAAACACCGCATGATAAATCCTAGTGTGGGGTGGAAAGAATCGTGGAGAAAATTGAGGAAAAAGTTGTCCCATGCACGGATGGACTCTGAGCAATTCATTGCAACATAGAGAGCTTACTGGAACATGCAATCAGCATAAAGCCTGCTGAAGGTTACAGTGAGGATAAATGTAGATGGTCCCGAACTTATGGATAAAAGTACAGGATACTAAACGCATGTAGAAACTCAAGCCATAAGCTAATAGTTTTATTTTGAGCAAACGTGAGATTTCGAGATAAACAGCACTCTGATACTTGAAAGTGGATGAGCTGGGTATGATTTGACCGCTGATGACCAGGCGAGGATAGGTGTTTATCAAAGTGCGAGACCTCTCATTGCGGAGAGGAGAGTCAGTGTTGAGAAAAAGCGACAAGGGCAAAAGCCACTGCCCAAACTCATTCAAGAGGACTCAACAGTGGGATCGATCCTGCATAAGATGATATCGCCAGCATAGGTACTATAACTAAATTAAAGGGGATGGAAAGCCTTTTGGGGAATGAGAGGATAAAGGATTGCTCCCTGTAAAACACACCAGACATCACGGAGAGTAGAGGACGCTTCAAGGTTCAACTGGGTGAAATGAGATTGATTTGTGGAGTAGCTCTCCATCAGGGTGCACACAGCTGGTTGAACAACCATGAAAGTGGAACCAAAAGGCGTTCGCTTAGCATCCAGTGGAGATAGCTGATGGATGAACAAGACATACCACGGCATCAGAAACGGAAGTCAGCCGCTCATAGACAAACAGCGATATCATTTGTTTGAGTGCATATAGAGACCCAAACGAAATGTGTTTGCTTGTAGACTTTCAGTATCACACAGCGTAGGCTACCGGACGAAATTTGTATGTATTACCTAGTATCTGGCCTGTAGCTTTAAGGATCACAAGACTGTCTTGTAATCCGAGAGCGCGGGTTAGAGCCTGTGTAGGGACCGGGGGACCCTCGCAGTATCCATAGCCCACGCGCGACTGGTGGTGGTTGCGCAGCAGCGAAGTGTCGCTGCGCCTATTCCCTAGTAAGCACGGGCGTTACCCTGACGTGACCCCCAAATGCCGGGAATATCATTACTTACAATATTTTCTAATAAGGGTCTGATCTGACCCTAATTCACTGGTCGCCAAGATGGAGACTTCCAAAATTAGAGCCGACAGTTAAACTGTGGAGAGAAGTAAACATCCATAACACTAAGGGAGCCAGGCCTCCACTGTCTGCCTGATCACCCGTTGTATAGTAGACATTCCAATAATTATCTTAAATGAAAGCCCCCATGAAAGAGCAAGTCCTCTGTGAGCGAAATGAGAATGATCCTTAACTAGCCAGTAACCGAAAACGTAAGCGCTTAATAAGTCATCAAAGCATAGTCCTCGGTAATTTGACTATAATCAACATGAATAGAGGACTAGCTCCACAGTAGTCAACTGTGTACGCGTGTGTGAAGCACAGCAGCTGTAGAATTACGTCCAAATACATTTAAGAGGGCCTGAATACCCAAAAATATGTTGATGTAGAACTTTTAGCAACTAATTCTTGGGCGATTCTAGCGGAGAAAACGGCAACTCCGATGCTTCGAGGCGCACTAGACTCAATAAACACAGAGGGTTCCATTTGATGAGATACTTCAACGTCAGAGTAGACGATTCTGTAAGCAAAACAGTTACCGAACTTGCCTCGTAACTCTTGATAGGTGTGTGAAGATTGCTGGATACAGGAGATAAAACGACGCACCACAGCACAACCATTGTTGAACCTCATGTAACGCCGAGCTAGATAGCCTCTAAAGTATGTCACTCATCAGGAGTTATAGTCTAAAAGCCGCCTTAATCTAACTTCTTTTTAAACCAGCTTCCTCCACCCCTTCCTACCGTCGAGGATCAAATGCACCGGGAAGCCGAACCTTTGGATTCCAACACATGCAATGAAGGTCAACACAGGTCATACGAGGAGAATAAACTTGAACTGAACTTTCCAAAACAGGAAATACGGCGCATCAGTAGCACACCAAATCTCAAAGTAAGTACGCATAACCTGTCAACGGGAAAAGAAACTAGTTCGTAATCTGTACTTGATTAAGCAACTGAAACGAACACGAAGGGGCCGGATTCTTACCGTTACCTGTTTTCTCGTTGGTTGGCTACTTTTGTTTTGATGTTTGATTACTGATGAGTAGTGCGAAAGTAACAAATTATTGGGTCACCGGCTTGGATCAGGCGACAATTGCTGTTGGAGTGGTTATCATAGAGAACACGAAAATTGAGGAACACACCCTCGTATTCCAGCAAGTTTATGCTGTAATTTTGGGGAGCATTGAGCCCCTGTTTGACAAAGAAACAAACGAAAGGCGCATGAACTGAGCAATCAGTCACCGGCTCCCAAAGGGCGCGATTCCCTGAATTCGCTCCGCTGCCTTGAGGGCAGGCTATTCAGCCAAAGGCTCGGGGTGGTGTCCCCTAATTCAATACCCTACTTCGGTTTGGGCAACCGGGTAGTATCTCGTCCTCTGACGAAACCATGGAATTTGATGATGTGTTGTGTTTCTTTTTACAATTTCTGTACCTTCTTTTGTGTTCCATGGTTTCCGATGGTTCAATGTCTATTCATAGACTGTTGCAAAATATACATCCTCGTATGGTGGGTGTCCGGTGGAACCTGAGTACTGCATCGTCCACCCATATTCGGCAGTCAACAGAAAGTCCCATGACCCCTTCTCATCGAGTGCGTTCGTAGTGACAGCCCAACTATGGCGACATACACAGTCGAAGCAGAGCAGCTGGGTGCTTTGATACCGCATACCTTATGAACTTTTATTCGAACCAATTTCATTCAAGCGGATGCGGTAAAGCTTTCATAGTACTGCCCATTGTGTCATACAAGTTAAGTTAAGAGTTATCTCACAAAATGCTTCTTGTAGGATACGATGTTTCTGTGCAATGGGAGGATAAGAGACGCCGTCATGACACTGCTCATAAAGTTATGTATACGATTGCAAAACCTTGTGTCCATTTTTGGAATGTATACCATGTCTCGAATACGAGACGCAAACTCAAATCAGGCCACGGTTTATGTTAGAGCAAATCTCAATCGTTACGATCACTGTGACCGCATCCAATGTGTGTGTGTGTGGGGGGGGGGGTTCGGCGCCAATCTCTCTCAACACAGAACCCAATGAAAAATCCCCACATTTGTTTCACTAATCCGATCGGTAAGGCATCTGGGATTGGAATCCAGAACGTAATTGTTGATGCTGAACGCCTTGCTCACTAGACCACTGAGGTTCACGAGCAAAACAGTTGACTTGGCGATTAGAAGTCAACCGCTGGGTCTTAGAATACCCGCTTGGTGTTTGGATTGCAACACGTAATCTCGATCTGGACCGAGTTTTAGTTCGAATAAATCCTCTCCGATTGGAGAGCGAGCTTTGTTGTACTAACTCCGTGTTGAAAAACAGTAATGTGCGTAACATGGTAAAATTAAACCACACGCTCAAATAAGCCTTAGTAGAAATACAACAGGCGGAGAGCGGTTTCTCAACATGGATATAGTACTGAACTAGGTAACAGAATATAGTGATGAGGCTCCGGAAAACCCACTCATAGTTGGTTTTTGCGTGGATGTAAGCCGGTGAAAGATAGCCACTCAAATGAACTGTGGCATGTAACCCAAAATAGGACAATTTGTGCGCATAAAATGTTTTGTTTGATCATTTCAGTACCTGGAAGCTACGGAGACAGCATCAGCTTACCCGGCACTCCCAAATGTACTGCCTGAACAGATGAGTAAGAAGCAGAGTCCACCGCTGGACGATACTGAGTTATTTACCGGTGGATGCACAGAGGAAGACCTCGAGATGGTAAACGAAGACGGCACGTTGGTGGACAGCACGGAACACAGTGCTATACATGTGTCCGGATCCGTTGGAGATATTGGCTCAATAAGGCCACTGCTACCGATCAGGCTTCCACCGTGGGCTCTCGCCACCGGAAAACCGGAGAGTGGCTTCTTGGTATTCTCCTTGAGTATCAACCAAAAACCGGGGTGTGATTCGCCCCGGTTTTTGCTGGATGTACGCGTGCTTGAAGCCAGATGTGTGCTAAGTCGAAACGTGGAACCAAGAGCTGGAAAATTCTATGTGAAGGCAAGAATCCAACCTGATGGTAAGGACCTACAGTATCTTGTTTCTACTTGTACGATGACATCGTTTGTGTGTAAATAACTGAGAGTTCTCTTAAAGGTCACTGGATTCATTTTTTGGTTGTTGGGCGAAGGCAAATCGTATGACCATCCCGTTATTGTCGACTGTAGCTCACAAAAAAGAACCGCACGATACTTCCCAAACACTAACCACTCGATCCCTAAGCTAAAGAGCGAACGGTGCTAAGGATAACACAAAGATGAACGCAAGATTATCGAAAGTGGATACAGCAAACCCAGGTAGTAGAAGGGGATGTGGTGAGAAAGATTCACTGAGTTGAAATGCAGTGAACTATTTTCCGGTATTTCGGACTGATGCACATCCCCAGTAGCTGAAGTGAGGCCACTCAGTCCGATTAGGAGCCCAGTGACAAGTAAGTCGATTATAAATAAACTCCACTAAATCTTCGTTCACCTCATGCTAGATATAATGAGTTGTAGCGAGTACAGAAATCGTAAGGGTTTTCGGTAGCAACAACAACTGACTCCGTAACATGAAAATAGCAGTTAGCCAGTTCGGAGAGTCAGGTGACAGTTCAAGCTATCAACCCTAGTAAAGAAGAAATAAGTGTCGGGCGAATTAGTGTTCATTCCTTTTGAGGGATGTAAGGCAAGTAGGGAACACAAATCTGATCGCCACTTTTCCGTACACTAATTGATGGGCTAGCGTGCGGATCTTGATCTGTTCTCCGAGCTGAGTGATTATTGTGCAGACGTTTCGTTGCCTGATAAGGCACCATCATCAGTGCGGCTACGGATATTCGAATTTATTTCAAATCAATTTGGGTGCGACGCACTAAAATCTGCTCGCTGATGGGAGACACTTGTCAGTCGGCAGTTATCCACTGACGAGAAGCTCTATTTCTGCCACGAACGCTTGTGAAGGCACGTTTTGCCGCCGAGAGTGCGCTACCGTCCTCCAAGTAACCATCCTTTGCATATCAGTGCACATGGATGCCGAGAATCGTCAATTTGACATGGAGCTCGCTAGCATCCTCGGAAGGGCTAAAAGCCGGCAAGCACGTGAGTTCATTGAAGCGTGGCATTCAAAGCAGAACTCGATCAACAAGCACTTGAACATTGGACTAGCTTACGAGGCATTGCGAACCAGGCCCCTGAAGCTGCACTGATGATGTTGCCTGACAAGGCAACGGAACGTTTGCGCAATAATCACTCATCTCGGAAAACAGCTCAAAATCCGCATCCACACCCCGAGCTTTAATACCAGCAGTACGAAAGCCAGTGGAATCCGATGCTACTATGTACGAGCTCAAGTAATGATGCAGGAAATAAGACTGATCCTGTTCCGGAAGATCACATGGCGAGATGTGCTGCCAAACGTGGTTATTAGGATAGTGACTGATCCAACTCTTTCAGCCTTTTTGATTTGTACTTTCATTCGTATGATTTTAACGTGCTCTATCGGGTATGTGAAGCCTATCTGAAGGCGAGCTAACTGAGGGGTTATCCATAAAAATACAATATATCAAAATACCCTCGTGCAACTCCTAATCGCTATATCGAACGTATCTGCTGTACGAGAAGCCGTAGTACTAGAGGCCAACTCTGTCCTGTGCAGATTGCATGGCCGCGCTATATCACAATTGCCTTATCAGTCATGACAGCCAAGCGCCATCAAGCATGACCTAGTGACAACCGACGCTTGGTAGCTTAAGCTGCCGGCGTCGGGACGTCATCGGTTCAGTTCCTAGTGGAGGCAAGAGTTGTGCACGGCTGAGTTCCACTGGGACGATACGGCCGTCTAGTGCTATGGTAGATGTGTGAAAGACAGTGTGATCAAGTTAACTGCAATGGACTATCCATAAAATGCTTGCAATGTTTTGGCTTTCTCTTCCATTTCCCTCGGTGCTCATAGCCACTGTTGCCACGGTAACTGGAGGTCAGTGGACAGTTATGAGCAACATGATAAAGTTATTGTGACAATGCGACTCAGTTTCAACTGAGGTACACGTAATTACCCGTGCAGAGAATAATGTGGTTTCTCGAGCAACAGCCTCACAAACTTGGTTCTCCTATAGACCTTTGACATTATAAGCAAGTGTGCTACCGGGTTCGGAAGATTTTAAACCACAAATCGGTTGTTTGAAAGCTTGTTTATTGCAGAGTCAGCCATTACGTGATGCCAGGTATGGACTATAACCTCCGGAACAAAAAGACTTTCTTCGTTTAACGAGAATCACAGACATGGGTGACACCCCTTAGAAGCCAGGTTGGGCATTGGGCACACATTAGAATGGTAATAGAGGTCAGTCGAGTAACATCACTCCGTCATAACCAAGAAGACCACGCACTTAGCCAATGTATTCTAGCTTATTTCGTTCAAGTGTACAGCTGTTTCAGCTATTTTTGGTTTTCTTTCAGGGTCGAAGGACACGTTTTCGATATATTCGCTGGACCAACTCAATCGGAAACCACGTTCCATTTTCTCGGATGGGTCACATCAATCGGTTTCCTTGGGGCGTAAGGGGACAATAAGCGTAGGAAGTACCCCTGTCAGGCGAGCATACCGATCGCCAGTGTTTTGGCATGCCATCACTCTGGAGACGGCACTGCCCAATTACATGTTCAATGATGAATCACAAATGGTGGCACGTTTTGGGAATTCGTTGTACACTGAGAAGTTAGAGACACAGAGACTAGAGCTGAAACTTGATCTGAAGGAACGAAACGCACTCAAGTCGGATGGATTGTACGGAAGCAATTCCAGTCTATTGTTGCCGGCATGGAAGCAATCGCAACTTTTGGGTTCGGTACGTATTCCTTTGGATCATAGGATGTGGAATTACTTTCTTCGGGCCAGTGAAGATATCCAATGCAGTCCACTGCGCCGATCGACGCTCATCGACAGAAGCGATGAAGAGCTGGCAAACGATAGGACCGAACAGGAAATCCAGACACGGAACAAACGGAGAGCACTAGCAGTCGAGCCACGGGTTTTACGATTTGTTCGAAAACTGGAAGTGCCATCTGAGGTAAGTAGAGCGCTTGTTGCGTCTACTTCGAAACACGTCGTGTGTGCGTGGTGAGCCTAGTCATTAGGGTAATACAAGCGGTAGTGTTTGAAGCGTTAAACATGAACGAACGGTGCGGAGAGAGAATAACGAGACTTGAAGAATAGTGATGATAAGAATATATGTGAGTTATTTGAGCTAATGCCGTGACCGGAAATAACCGACAGAATGACCACCATTGTGTTGTAGGGAAATCGGTGTATAGGTCATGCCGTACAACGGTCGAAGGCCATCCAGGATACGCTGAAGCCCGAAGGACAGAGAAGTTATCCAAGGTATTGGAGCTGCGGAGGTTAGAATCAATACATGATGGTACAAAATGTCCGAGAGATCACATGCCATCATTCTTAGACTGCAATCGTTGAAATGGTCATATGCCGCCATTCACGATGTGCGTTCCCGGGCGGGGATTACAAATTTAGGCTTGACTATTCCAATTAAGACAGTGGTTCTGAAAATACGGAGGCGATTGCGCAAGTAATTCTACACATGAGTTGCAACATTGCTTCACAATTTATGATAGGTACCAATCATTTATCTGACCGTGGGACAAGAGGAATTTGATTTTCGGAATCTGTGAATTCAGTAGCCGCAAAGTATGATACTTAAGTTCACTACGTTTATTGGGACATGGAAATGATGCTAAGTAACTCAACTGATGTGAACAACTGTCTTGGCTTACGCTGATGCTATTAGTTTGGGCCACTTGGTGAGAAATAGTTCAGTGAGACGGATCACCGGTTAAGCGATATAAGGGTAGATTATTGGAAACTTGGCTAGATCGGAGAGACAAGTGTTGGAAATATGGTGATGATGAAAGTATAAACACGGATGCAAGGACCTTCTTCGCCAACCTCAGAAAGTATCCCAGCGCTAATTCTCGAAACGCGTACACATGTCAAGTGGAGTAATGATAACACCATGTAGAACAAAGGGCCAAGAAGGTTCATAGGCCCAACCGACGTAGTTAAGGCATTAGCAGTCTGTCGGTACGCTGTGTTGACGCTTCGCTACCGCGCAAGCACCAACAGTCGCTGGTGGACTAATGATACTGCGATGGTCGCCCGGCCCCTAACCAGGCTCTAACCCGCGCCCTCGGACTACAAAGCAGGCTTGTGATCCTTAAGGCTACGGGCCGGCTTTTATTGCCTCGCCCGGAGGCGACTTTGCAAAAACGAGTCAAGAGTTATTGAGTAGTGCCTCCCCAGGGAAACCGTTACTAAAAGGCGTAAGATTCATCCAGAAATGAGGAGACACCAGAAGCTCAGTTAGTAAAGCGTATGAATTCGTCCCTGGTTTATCAGATTTGCAAAGGTGATAACAGCACCTTTCCTAAATATCAGAGTGTGATCCGTATAGTTTCCAAGCTATTCTCAGCATCAATATATGGGGTTTGTGCAATCCAAGGGTGACCGTTCATTGTTGAGGGAGGGAGCCTATCCCCAGTAACAGAGCAAGCATAGTGCATGTGATGAGGGTGTGCAATGCTATGACGATAATATGGTAAATGAAACATCCAGTGACCAAGCGTATCCGGAGGAGAAGCCACATATGTTGATTACATGGCAACGCGGTTTAAAACCAAAGATCGATTATCCCAAGGCGTTCCGTCTGGCGAAGTGCGTTTTATATACCAAATTGGTCGATTTCATTGCCAAGTGCTGTAAACCCTTACCAATTTACTGATGCGACTTGATGTTCCACGTTTCACATTTAACCCCCAGGATGCAATCGACCGTGGAGATTTAACTATCGGACTGCAATATAACAACGAAAACGCCAAGCTGACACTCAACCCACTGAAGTGTTCTGCTATCCACCTGCCTAAGGGGACAAGTGAGTGTGTAAACAAACTGCTTCGATCTGGCGTATTTTACCCAGATAAAAATGGGAAAAAGTAGAATATGTAATCAATATATGGGGTGCGTCATGCATAATGCTTGTGTAAAATCCCACTGGAAGCCGATAGCAGAAGCGTATACCCTAAACAACTGACCAACGAGCTCTGTAGCTAGACAGTACCACAACAAACATTTGTTTGTATGATGCGTGCATCTAGTGTTTGATGGCGATAGCTGCGACATCACCCGATGATTCTTTCTACTCCTCACAGAGCACATATTTCTCCGGGCTACGCTGATGACCAATCGGAAGGTGTTGGCCACACAACACTCTCAACCATCAGCCAGATTGAGCATGAACGCGGCGGAGTTCCTGCTCGGTGAGAGGATGCAATTCGCAATAGAGGAGCATTTGGACCAAGTGTGTCTCCTACTGTGTATATTTGCTCGTCTGGGGAAACGACTCGGAGAGACAGTCTCGCTGATAGGTCGTTGTGTCACGGGACCGGAAGGGTTGGCCTATGGCGAAGGACTCTCTCACTGGAAGGCAATTAGTAACCAACGAGGAATGGTCAAACGCACTCACGTCCTTTTTTGAACTCGCAGTTACAGTTGTTACTGAAACCGTTTGATCAAATAAAGCCTCCCAAGGGCGGCTTATTGACAGTAACAGTGAACGAACAACTTACTGCGGTAAATAAGAGTGCCTTCACAGAACAAAGCACGGGCGCATAGTTCAACAGCGCTGGCGTGGCGGCAATTACGACGCAAAAGAATTAAATAATTAAAGTTTACACCCATGATAATCAAGAGGCGCAGAGCATCATCATAATCAAAAGTAGTACATCAACCATTTGAACTGATGCTTCCCTGCCGTACAACCACGGTGACCTACAGAACAAAGAACAGGAAGAAGAGACTTAGCTTAAAACCTTAATACACTAAGCAAACATTCAAGATCAATGCGCCTACATCTTGTCAACAGCATAATGTCACAAATAGCTGGCTAACCAGAAAACATTAGGCTGTATCGGAGAGAGACAGGTTTCTTGCCGATTGCACTGCTCCATGTCATAATCAGCCATCACATTTTATACACGCAGTCCGACTAGGAGACGAAAGTAGACGCGCCACCGGTGTCGGCGGGGAGCCATGTCCTGTAAAGTCTACAGCCAAACACAAGGCGAGTCACGTGGACTCCAGCCCAGAAGGCAAGACGGAACAATAGCTCCAGTTTGGTCGTAAGTGCCTTTATTTCCCGCTGCCAAGTCAACTTTTGTCCATCCCGAGTTTTGCGCCACCCTACACGTGGAAGAGTAAACAATGCCCTGCTAGGTAAGCGATGACCGGGCATACGTGCCCAAGGCACCGCAACTTAAGTGCTACCTGCTGTTCTAAGGAAGCAGCTTGAGTACCACTGCCTAGCACTCTCCTACGCACTTCATGGTTGCGGACACGCCGGTGCCACCAGACACCAGCAATACTCCACAGATAACGATGATCATAGATCTGAATGCGCCTCAGATCATCAGACCGAAGGGGTCAAGGCTCACTCCCATAGAGCAGGACGGCCAACACTGTGGCGTTGTAAACACGGCCTTTCAGACGGAGTGAAACCCCATTCTGTCGCCAAGGATACCGCAGGTTCAATAAGACAGTTTTGGCTTGTGCAATGCGTGAAATGACTTCAGTTTCTACGCCCCCATCAATGCTGATGTAGCTGCCAAGGTAATTGAATCGACCAACCACCTCGAGATCCTTGTTATCAAGGGTTAAGGGGTCATCATCATCATCAACAGCAGTACATCAATCATTTGAACTGATGCTTCGCTGTCATGAGCTAGGGAATAGAGAATAACAAGAGGCAGAAAGAGGGGACTTACCTGAAAACCATAATGTCCTAAGTAAACATTTGGGTAAAGTTGTCTACACCTTGTGTTAACGGCTCGCGGCTGACGCCTTGATTACCAGGCCACCGTTTGGAACAGTGGTAAGAAATTCAAAATTGGATCTGCAGTACTCGCCGTATGGTTAGATTGCGACACGCTATCTCTACTGAGACTACCTTTCACTTTGAAGTAGATCTTGGTCACTCCGACCACAAAGACCGTATACGTATCGGAGGCATTTCGGTGTCGCTCCTCCCAACACTGACACCCCGTGACCGGTTTCGTCCTCCTTTGGACTCATCAGATGGAGATAGCCTGATCTGGAAGTGGGAATAGGTGCTTAATGGTTAGAGTCTGACGCCTTAATCACCAAGCCACTGAGAACCGTGAGTAACGCTGTGCACAGCGGTTAGGAATACAAAACTGGGTTTGGAGTACAGCCATATGAGTGGATTGCAATTTCTATTGAGATCTGGGTTTACTTTGTAACATATTTCGGTCATTTCGATCACCAGGGTAGTATCCATAGTGGATGGCCCACGGTGTAGCTCTCTAAACACAATTAGTCCAAATGAGGACGAAATCGGCAGTGGAGTGTCAGTGTTGGGAGGAGCAACACCGGAATCCCTAAACTTCCTATACGGTCCCGGTGCTCGGAATGACGACCGTGGTCTGTTTCAAAGTAGATCTAGGTCACAACAGAGGTTCCATGTTGCAATCCAACAACACGACAGATAATCCAAGACCGAACTTTGAGTTCCCGACCGATATGCCAAACGTTTCTTACGGATTTTAGTGGCATAGTGCTGAAGGGGTCAGCCGTGAACCACTAGCCCACGAGTTCCACCCCAACTCAAGCTATCTTCATTTGATGAGTCCGAAGGAGGATGAAACCGGTCATGGGGTGTCAGTGTCGGGAGAAGCAACACCGAAACATCCTCATTTCGGATATGGGTCTTGTGATCGGAATGACCGAGGTCTACTTACCTAAAAGTAGACTGAGGTCTCAAAGATTAGGTACCGCAATCCAACCACACGGCAGGCCCTCTAAACCAAAGTTTGAAACAACAGGCAGTTCGTAGATAGATCAATGAATACCGTACAAAACTGATGACATAAATGATCACTGCTCAGCTTCGATGCTGCACTTATTCGTACCTACCAGAAACAGCCCAGTCATTCACTAGTACTTAAAACCTTTGTTAGTCACATTAGATAGCCATGTAAAAATTCGTTGTCCATAGACGGTCTCGCTCGGTAGAAAGTAGAGATGGACCGGTAAAATCGAGATTGCCAAACGTCACAGCCTCCCATCGGTAGGCTCGAAAATGGGGGATACTCAGGAAGCACAAGTAGCTTCGAGTAAGATAGATGAATCCGTACAAGTTATCGAATGGTTCCGATCATTCACTGGAAAGGGATTAACCGTATGTGAAGCGTATGATTCCATCGCCCCCAATTACAGTGGAAAGGCCGGGGAATGAAGCCAACGGTACTTGAAAAAGAACGCTTGTTCCGAGAGTCTGCTGCGAGCACATACGCGTATTTAAATAACGAGATATGATAGCACAAATGGGACAAGGAGAGGCGGCAGATTGGCGCCACATACGGTCGTACGGAAGTAGGTGCACCGAGACCGCAACTGAGTGCCCGTCGTGTAAGGATACCTGGGTGACCCAACGGGATACAACAGACAATGGGCAGAGGGTGCCCGGAGACGCTACCTATAAAAGAAGCTCAACGTGATCCCAATCACTACCAGTAAGCGAATAGGGTTTGTTCTCAGAACCTTTCAGCTTTACCACGTACCATTTGGGTGAAGGGTTTGTGAGAGTGAGATAGTATTAATATATGAAAGGTCGCGTCGACTGCTGGCAAAGCTTGGTAAGTCATAATAAGATGTATCGTCATCATTGTATAGGTCTCCAGTAGCGAGCGAATTAGCAAGTATCACGAGCGAAAAAACCCACAGACGCTAACCAAACGCGGATAACAGATAAACCTCATAGAGGTTACTCATGATCCAATAATACCAGCTAGAAAAAGCAATGGTTTGGTATGATGCACAGATTACAAAAAAGCAAGCCAAGTAGGCTTACAGGGCGTTCTGTTAAAAACATAGAAACCCCATGGATGCAACCTAATTACCATGGAAATAAGGAATTAAAAAAAGGGAAACACAGAGGTGGATAACATATTTGGCGTTAAACAAGAGAGATAAAGCTGATTTTTCTCGCAGCTGAATTACATGAGCAGGTGTCCGGCCAGTTTACTCAACTACGTAGACAGCCGGATGTGTACAATTTTTGAGCAGTCGAGGGGAGAAGAGAACGGGAGAACGGGAATGAAAGGTTCCAGATTGTGACCCGTCAAACGATCCGTTTTATAACAAAATAGGAAGTCGACGGATTAACCGATTCGAGCAGTTTAATTCAGCTGAATAGCTGTTCCGATTTGAATGTTTCCACGACCGTATAAGTAGTCGGGAAATACCATATGACCTAGACGGAATTCACCGCAAGTAGACTTAGACAGAAGCCAGACACAGATGAAAAGATACAGGAATTCGTTAGCTGAATGAGATTAGAGCTTAACGTGGTGCGGCGGTTTGCGTATCTCTACGACCCATTGGGCTACGCTAGGTGGCTCTTTCCAAGTGTCTTGAGAAACTCTCATACCAGACAGGCCAATGGTTATGGGTCAAACGAACTCAGTCTCACAATCCAGTCCTATTCAGAGGTTAGGAAGAGGTCGATGGCTCACTTCATTTAATACCTAGCCATGGAAAACAACAGGTCTACGGGTTGGAAGCTCATAGTTTGATTGGCGTAGAGCATGAGCGCTACGCATTTTCTCTGACGGTGGAAAAACACCTTCGGGTATGCAATGGATTGCTACCGCCCACCTCAAGGCAGACAGCACTTGATCAAATTAGAGTGAATAAGCCAAACCCTACCTACGGATGACCGTGGTCGCAGGTGTGTAACAGGGTTGATGGCATCCGGTTTCGGATTTGCCTGTCACGGTGGCCAGCGGCAAGAGGCCTACGCCTACAGAGGGACCATGGACAGCTTGCGCTGCACCACCTACCATCCACACACCCCATATCCAGTGTAAACCCGAAGGAATAAGACCGGGAGGCATGTGGATGGGAGCCACGTTTCATCAACGGAGTCGGCCCACACTCCTTCACAGGTAAACACAAACACGCTACATTTGGGAATCAAGTGCACACAAGGCGGTGGCTGGACCGTAGTCCGCTCCACACTGACTGCATGGAACCACTCTTTGATCATAACACGGCCACAAGGACCGTGCACCCTGTCCTCTCCAGCAACGACCAACTGTCTCCTAGAGCCAGTATGGACGAGGTAGGGGGTAGTAGATAGGTAGGCACCTTGTCAACATGCACGTCAAGCGCAGCCACACCAGGGATATTAAACAACAGCCAATTACTTGAGAGAAAGCTAACAAAGAAAATAAATGGAATAATGCATAGGGAAACGTGGCAAAAATCTTAAAATTAATGAGCATATGAGATAAATTGGCAACAAAGAATCCGAGATAAGTTCAAGAGGTCAGAAAGTATTTTTTGTAAATGACACAAACGCGAAAATGTTATCGAAATTAAATAAAATTGGCTAAAGCGAGTTGTGCAGGATTGTAGAAGAGCGTACGGGTGAACATTTATTTGAGAATGAAAAGCATTAGGGGAAAATTGAAAATCTACCACCTGAAATAAAGAGACTTAGCATGCAAGCACGCGGTTAGTAAACCGAATGCAGCGTACCTACAAACGCTGCATTGGTTCTGCCTACGTTCTCTGCAGGACCCATCGTCGCTTCGGTAGTGGTCCCGAGTGGCCTCACTCATGGCTCAC